TTCCTGGCAGAAATGGAGCAGCTGTTTGCTCACGGCCGTGGGCCGAGCCCCACGCACTCGCACCTTTGTCCTGGAAAGTCATTTTGTGTTGGTTGGAGGCTTAGCTCTTGACAGAGGCGATGTCTCAAGGCCCGAAAGCTGGGGGCAAAGGTGATATTCAGCTGCCAGCTCTTAGATAAGAAGAGGCCAGAGACGCAGGGGCGGCGGAGATGACTCCCGGGACCCGGGATTGCAGGGGCGGGCTGGGTCTCCCCCGGGCGGGGAGGGGGGGGTGTTGGGCAGCTGTGGAGGCCTCCGCCGATGGTCACAACATTGGAGGGGCATTTCACCTGCTGATGGAAAGCAGTTGCTCAGAAACCACCTGCCTGCGCGTGAGAAACTAGCACCTAATGAAAGGCTCGCAGGGCCTCTCCTGCCCCAGGACCTTTGCACGGGCTGTGGAAAGCTCTTCCCCAGATTTCTGCAGGGCTCCTTCTTGGAGAGAGAGAGAGAGAGAGAGAGAGAGAGAGAGAGAGAGAGAGAGAGAGAGAGAAACTTTGATGTGATTGAACCTGCAACCCAGGTACCTGCCCTTGACTGGGAATCAAACCCTCAACCCTTTGGTATGAGGGCCAATGCTCTAACCACTGAGCCAACGGCCAGGGCCTTCAAATGCGGTCTTCTCACAGGGTCCCCCCCAACCACCCCCTTTAAATGGAGTTTTCCTGCCCGGCCGGCAAGGCTCAGTGGTTGAGCTTCAACCTATGAACCAGGAGGTCACGGTTTGATTCCCGGTCAGGGCACAGGCCCGGGTTGCGGGCTCCATTCCCAGTGCGGGGCGTTTGGGGGGCAGCCGATCCATGACTCTCTCTCATCATGGATGTTTGTCTCCCTCCCTCTCCCTTCCTCTCTGACTTCAATACAAATATTCAAAAAAAATTTAGTAGCTGATTTTAAAAAGTAAAGGAGAAACCAGCAAGATTTATTTCACCCGCCATGTCCAACCCTGACATGTCATCGACCCAAAATATTGAGACTGTATGGTGACCCCGCTCTCCTCCTGCGCCTCTCACACTCGGCGCCGTTCCCTGGGACGAGGCCCAGTCTCCGCTGTCGCCCCACGTGAGCGGCTACCGGATCGCACAGCACAGCTCCGACCCGTTATAAAATGACCGGCGACTGTGTTGATCACGGGTCGATCTTGCTCCTCTGCTGGCGCGTGAGGTCCGCCAGGCCTGGGAGCTTCCCCGTGTCCACCGCTGTGGCCCCGGCACATAGTAAGTGCGCAGCCAGGACTCTGTCCTCGCCCGGGGCTGGGGCCCAGATGTGGCCAAAGGCGATGGTTTCCTCTTCCTGGTGGCCTTTCCCTGACGCCTGCCCCCACCCCCTGACGCCTCTCTTCCTTCTATCACTTCCCCTTCCTCCCCTTGTTCCTCCTCCTCAGCGCAGACCGAGGGATCTGCCCGGGCTCTGGGGCCAAGTGACCTGGTTCAGGCCCCGCCCGCACCAGCTGGTGACCTGGCGATGGCTGCCTGTGGGAGGAAAACTCCCCGATGGGGCGGGTGGGCGGCAGGGCGCGAGGGTTCCACCTTTCCACCTGCGGGGGGCACCTGCTCCGTGTGTGGCCAGGTGAGCGCCCTTAACCCTCCTGACGCCCCGGCGGTGGGCGCCCCATCCCTGCTGCTTCGATAGGGAAGCAGGGCCCAGAGGCAGTAAGCGAGTCCCCGTCACCCCGCTGCGCAGCACATTCTTTTTCTTCTTTTTTAAAAAATATTTTTACTGATTGCAGAGAGGAAGGGAGAGGGAGAGAGAGAGAGAAGCATCCATGATGACAGAGCATCATGGATCCGCTGCCTCCTGCAGGCCCCCCACTGGGGATGGAGCCCACAACCCGGGCCTGTGCCCTGACCGGAATCGAATCCTCACCTCCTGGTTCCTAGGTCGATGCTCAACCCCTGAGCCGTGCAGGTTGGGCCCAGTTTTTTCTTTTGCTTTTATTAATCTTTATTGTTGAAAGTGACTCAGATGTACCCTTTCCCCCCAGCAACCCCTTCCCACCCGCCCCCTCCCTCTCCGCGCGGGTGTGGAGCCAGGAAGTGTGGGGACGCGGCGTGGAGCACTCGTCCTAACGCTCCCTGGAGCCCCGCACCCTGGCCCTGCCTCCTCCTCCCGCACGGCCTCCCTCTAAAACCTGACCCCGGCTCCCCCTCCTGAGACCCCCCCACCGGGAGGGCCTCCCCTCATGGAGGTCACGGGTGGTCACGGGTCCCACCTCCTTTCTTCTCCGCCTCTCCCTCCGGTCAGGTGACGGCGTGGCGTGACATGACGGCCTCCCTCCGTGGCCTTGGGCGTCTGGGTAAGCACCACGCACGTTCCGACCTTGGAGACGCGGCGATAAATCACACGGACATGGGGGAGACGTCCAAGGCCAGAGGGCCTTGCTCGGGGCGGGGGCCGGGGCCAGCTTGTGGGGAGTCGGTGCCACCCCAAGCAGGACACACGTAACATGTAACGCATAAATGAGACGTCCCCCGGCTGCTGCCCCCGGGCCGATGCCCCGACCTCTTCCGGAACCCGACGCGACATGTTTGCGAATGAATCCGTGTGCGACCTGACTGAGGGACGCGTTCACTAGCCAGTGGGTGACTTCAGTGTTTATTGGGTGACGACTGTCACCGTTTCCCAACCCCTTTCACCTGTCTTTCTTTTTTAAGCAGGGGTTTTATTTTATTTATTTTTAATCCTCACCTGAGGATATTTCCCTCATTGAGTTTTAGAGAGTGTGGAAGGGAGGGGGAGAGCCAGAGAGCGAGAGAGAGGGAGAGAGAGAGAGAGAGAGAGAGAAACACATCCATTGGTAGAGCTAGAGGCGTGTGCCCTTGACCGGAATCGGAACCCTTTAGTCCACAGGCCGACGCTCTATCCACTGAGCCAAACTGGCCGGGGCCCAACCCCTTTCATCTTCACCACAGCCCTTGGCGAGAGGCCCTTCTCCCCATTGGACAGATGAGGAAACTGAGGCACAGAGCTGGCCAAGCCACTTGCCCCGGGACTTCGGGGTGGGAACCCCAGGAGGATGGATTTTTGGGGGAGTCTGTTCCCATCGGGCACCCAGCCGTGCCCTAGCCACCCTGATCGGGGTCCGGGTGGGGCCCTGCTCCTGGCACCTGGGTGAGGCTGGGTCTCCTGCGGCGAAGGCAGTGCCGGGCAAGGCTCTCTGGCCAACGTACAGTAGGTGCTCAGTGAACGTGGACTCAGGCAGGACTGGCCACGCAGGGACAGGCCTGGGGAATGCTGCTGGCCCCCCGAGGTGGAAGAGAGTTCCAGAAGCCTGGCTCTGAGCCCTCGGGGCCCGGCCTGCCTTCCCAGGTATCGGGGACACCCTCCTCCATCCCCGTGGAACCCCACCTAAGAATGAGAGGAATGCCCTGGCCCTGGCTGGTGTGGCTCAGTGGATAGAGCGTTGGCCTGTGGACTGAAGGGTCCCGGGTTTGATTCCTAGTCAGGGCACAGGCCCGGGTTGTAGGCTTGATCCCCAGTGTGGGGCGTGCAGGAGGCAGCCGGTCCATGATTCGCTCTCATCATGATGTTTTTCTCTCTCTTTCACTCTCCTTTCCTTTCTGAAATCAATAAAAATAAATGAAGAAGAAGAAGGAGGAGGAAGAGGAGGAGGAGGAGAAGGGCCTGCATCCGGGGTCCAGAACTCAGGGCAGGCCTGGGTAAGACGGGGGGACACGTGCCAACCTATTTTAATTCCCTGGGGCGCTCGATACCTGCAAATACCCACCATTCCTTGGCTCACGCCTAGTCATCCATCGCCCCTTCACTAGGAAGCGGAGACCTAGCTCTGTGCGCCCCTGTGGGCCTGTTCCCTTCTCTGTCACCCGGGGTCACCCGTGCAAGACCCCTGGCTCAGGGCCCAGCACCCGGGAGACTCCTCCTCTGCTCCTTCTGTTTGCAGCGGGCACGGGGCACGCGGGGTCCCTCCTGGCAGCCGGATGGGGCAGGGGCCGGCTTCCGCCCGCAGCCTTCAAGTCGGGGGTGGGGTGGGGCGGGGGGTGGGGGGCAAGGTCCGAATGCAAAGCACGAACGCCAGTGGGCCAGGCGGCAGGTGGCGCGGGGCGATAAGGCAGGGGGTGGGCTGGGCCAGCTGGCGCGAGTTCCTTTGACTCAGGGTGGCAGGAGGCCTTGCCGATAAGGTGGCTTCCCGCAGCCCAGAAGGAAGGAACCGGGCAGATATCTGGGGGTGCAATTCCAAGTCCAGGGTGTCGGGACCCCGAGGCAGGGAGAGGCTAGTAGAGTGTGTGAGTGTGTGTGTGTGAGCGAGGGGGGGAGGGGGGCAGAGATGAGGGTGCACAGGCCCCCCTCTCGGTTGGGAAAGTCTGACTAACAGTGAACCAGGCCCCAGCCGGCGTGGCTCAGTGGATGGAGCTTCCGCCTGCAGACTGAAGGGTCCCAGGTTTGATTCCCAGTCGAGGCACAGGCCGGGGTTGTGGGCTCGATCCCCAGCAGGGGGCGTGCAGGAGGCAGCTGATTGGTGAGTCTCATCATTGATGTTTCTCTCTCCCTTCCTGTCTGAAATCAGTAAAAAAATCTTACAAAAAACCCACAATCCTTCGTGGACACAGACAATAGGACGCTGAAGGCCTGGGCGCGGTGGGGGGGGCGGGCTGGAGGGGGCCAATGGGGACAAAGAGGACATAGGTAACACTTTCAACAATAAAAAATTATTTTTTAAAGAAACCCTCTTTTTTAAAAAAAAGTGAACCATGAGGACGATCAAGGCTGGGGAAGTGGGCGGGGAGGGGGGGAAGGGGAGGGATGAGCGGGGAGCAGGTGGGAAGGGGCGGGGGAGGGGAGCCTGGCCCAACGGACGCCGAGGCCCGGGACGCGGGGCCTCCACCAAAAGGGAAGCGAAGGCGTGGCCGTCCCGCCCCCACGGACCGTCCGATCCGCGCCCCGCCCCGGGCCCGCCCCCCGCCGCGGGCGCCGGCCCGAATCCCGCTGCCCCGGGCGCCCGGGGGCGGTCCGGCGGCGCCCGCCCTGATGGCGCATAAAGCCGCGGGCCACCTGCCGGGTCGCTCCTCCGCGCGCCAACGTCCCGGGCCCGCCGTGCCGCCGCCGCTCGCGTCCCCGGAGTCGCCGCCTCTGCCGCCTCTGCGCCCGGACCCCGTTCCCTTCGGGCGCGCAGTTGCCGGAGCGCCGCGTGGGCCCCGGGCGCGCGGACATGGGCGGGTGCGCCAAGGCGGGCTGGGCGGCCGCGGCGCTGGGCGTCCTCGGGCTGCTGTGCGCGGTGCTGGGCGCCGTGATGATCGTGTCGGTGCCGTCCCTCATCAGGGAGCAGATCCTCAAGGTGGGTGCCGGGGTGCGGGTGCCGGGGGGCGCCGGGGGGCGGCGGGCGGCGGGGAGCGGCGGGGCTGGCGGGCTGGGCGCCGGGGAGCGGGGGAGGCGCGCGGGGGAGCGGCCGCGGCCCCCCTCCCCACGGCGCCCCCCGTCTGGCTGAGGGTGGGAGCGCAGGGGAGCGCCGTGGGGCTTGGCTGGAGGCTCGCTGGGGAGGCCCGGGTGGCCCACCACGCGGGAGCCCGACCTCGCGCTCGGGGCTGCCCCCACCCGGCCGGGCCTGGAACGGGGAGCCCGGGGAGCGCGCCCACACGCCGGCGGGGGTGTCTGCCCAAACCAGGGCTGCCTCCGCCTGTTCCCCGGGAGCCGGGGAGGCCAGGAGCCCAGCGCTCATGTGCGCCTAAGGGGCGCCCCTGGGTGCCAGGCCTAGTCGGTGCCAGCAGCCACTCTCTCTGCTGCCCAGCCCCTCGGGGGAGCCCTCTCCAGGGGCGCCCCTCTCGGAGGCCAACCGCTCCCTCCTCCCCCGCGCTGCCTCCCTGGCGCAGGGGATAAGCGGCTTTTCTCTCCGGGTTCACGCAGGGGCCGGCCCAGGCCCAGGGCTGAGTAGGCGGGGTCCTTGGAGCCCACAGCCAGGCTCCCCACTTGCACAATCCTGCCCTTTAAACCGGCCCCAGGACGGCCGGTGGCCTTCAGCCGCTCAGGTCCTGCCCTGCGAGGCCGGCGACCTGTTCGAATGAGTCTGGAGTCGACTGAGGGCGAGGGAGGTTGCAGGCTGCGCTTGAGTCCAAGTGGCTCAGAGCTGTGGGCCCACAGCCAGCACCGGCTCCTGCGCCCAGGTGGGAAGCCGCAGGCTCACCTCTGCCCACGTCCCGCGGCGGCCCAGAGCTGCGTGGAGGCGGACACTGTCTGTCCCTCGACAGGTGACCTCTCTCCCTCCCTCCGCCTGCGCTGCTTTAGGCGACTTTTCAGGAACAGAGACTTGCCCGAACTGCCCCCTCCGTGCCCCGCGCCCAGCGCTGGGGGCCTGGAGAATGAATGAATGAGCGAGTGAAGGGGGACCTGCTTAGACCTGGCCCACCCTTCCTGGGACCCCGCCAGGCAGGGGCAAAGCTGGGCCTTTCTCAAGGCCTCTGGGGAGCGGTTGTCTGATCTGAGTCATCTTGGCCACATTGTTCAGTTTTTTTGTGTGTTTTTTTTTGGTTTTCAAATCTGTCCCAAGTCCTGTAATCTGATGGCGTGGAGATCCCTGTGATGTCACCGAGTTCCTCCTCGGTCTGGGTCTGTGTGTGTTTTGTGTGTGTTTTCTGTGTGTGTTTTGTGTGTGTTTTGTGTGTGTTTTCTGTGTGTGTTTTCTGTGTGTGTTTTCTGTGTGTGTTTTCTGTGTGTGTTTTGTGTGTGTTTTCTGTGTGTGTTTTGTGTGTGTTTTGTGTGTGTTTTGTGTGTGTGTTTTCTGTGTGTGTTTTGTGTGTGTTTTCTGTGTGTTTTCTGTGTATGTTTTCTGTGTGTGTTTTCTGTGTGTGTTTTGTGTGTGTGTTTTCTGTGTGTTTTCTGTGTGTGTTTTGTGTGTGTTTTGTGTGTGTTTTGTGTGTGTTTTCTGTGTGTGTTTTGTGTGTGTTTTGTGTGTGTTTTGTGTGTGTTTTGTGTGTGTGTTTTGTGTGTGTGTTTTGTGTGTGTTTTGTGTGTGTGTTCTGTGTGTGTCTTGTTGGTGTTTTGTTCTTTGTTTTTTTTGTTCCGTCCGCTGGGGTTGGTGGGGAAAAGCTGGAGTGGGGACCTCAGCGCGGAGACTGGCTTCGTTCTTGCCCAGGCGGCCGGGGGTGGATGCCTTCGATCCTTTTCCAGGTGATTTCGAAGTGAGCGCTTTATCTCCGGGAGCTGCCGGCGAACGGTTTGTGTGCTGGGTGCACGGAGGGGCTGACACTCACGTGGCGTGAGCGTGTGAGCGTGGGGGGCCTCTTGCTTTGGGGGTGACAGTGGGGGGCGGGTGGGTCATGGGGAAGAAAGCTGGCAGCTCAGTCATTCCTGGGCCTGTTTCAGTGGGGTTTTCTTTCTACGGCTGCGGATTTGGTTAAGCATGTGCCTTGTGTGTGTGTGCGCGCGCGCGTGTGCGTGTGCGTGCGTGTGTCTGCGCGTTCGTGTGCGTGTGAGTGTGTGCGTGCCTGTGTGTGAGTGTGTGCGTGTGAGTGTGTGCCTGTGTGTGAGTGTGTGCGTGTGTGTGTGCGTGTGTGTGAGTGTGCGTGCGTGCGTGTGTGTGAGTGTGTGCGTGTGTGTGTGCGTGTGTGCGAGTGTGTGTGTGCGTGTGTGCGTGTGTGTGAGTGTGCGTGCGTGCGTGTGTGTGAGTGTGTGCGTGAGTGTGAGTGTGTGCGTGTGTGTGAGTTTGCGTGAGTGTGAGTGTGTGCGTGAGTGTGAGTGTGTGCGTGTGTGTGAGTGTGTGCGTGAGTGTGAATGTGTGCGTGAGTGTGTGCGTGAGTGTGTGCGTGAGTGTGTGCGTGAGTGTGTGCGTGTGTGAGTGTGTGCGTGTGTGTGAGTGTGTGCGTGTGCGTGAGTGTGTGCGTGAGTGTGTGCGTGTGTGTGAGTGTGTGCGTGAGTGTGTGTGTGAGTGTGTGCGTGAGTGTGTGCGTGAGTGTGTGCGTGTGTGTGCGAGTGTGCGCGCGTGTGAGTGTGTGCGTGAGTGTGTGCGTGAGTGTGTGCGTGTGTGTGAGTGTGTGCGTGAGTGTGTGCGTGAGTGTGTGCGTGTGTGTGAGTGTGTGCGTGAGTGTGTGCGTGTGTGTGAGTGTGTGCGTGAGTGTGTGCGTGTGTGTGAGTGTGTGCGTGAGTGTGTGCGTGTGTGTGAGTGTGTGCGTGAGTGTGTGCGTGTGTGTGAGTGTGTGCGTGAGTGTGTGCGTGAGTGTGTGCGTGTGTGTGAGTGTGTGCGTGTGTGTGAGTGTGTGCGTGAGTGTGTGCGTGAGTGTGTGCGTGTGTGTGAGTGTGTGCGTGAGTGTGTGCGTGTGTGTGTGTGCGTGAGTGTGTGCGTGTGTGTGAGTGTGTGCGTGAGTGTGTGCGTGTGTGTGAGTGTGTGCGTGAGTGTGTGCGTGAGTGTGTGCGTGTGTGTGAGTGTGTGCGTGAGTGTGTGCGCGCGTGTGAGTGTGTGCGTGAGTGTGTGCGTGTGTGTGAGTGTGTGCGTGAGTGTGTGCGTGAGTGTGTGCGTGTGCGTGAGTGTGTGCGTGAGTGTGTGCGTGTGTGTGAGTGTGTGCGTGAGTGTGTGCGTGTGTGTGAGTGTGTGCGTGAGTGCGTGCGTGTGTGTGTGTGTGTGTGCGCGCGCGCGCGCGCGCGCGTGTGCCCGGGCACCGCCTGATTCCCCACTTCTGCCTCGTCCCCAGCTGTCCCGGGCCTGGGATTCCTGGGCTGAAAGTGGAGCGAGAGCGACCGGCATCCTCCGTGACTCTCAACGGCGATTGGTCCGAGGCCGGGTGGCGTGAAGGCGGCAGGCCGGCCCGGCCCAGCCCAGCCCAGCCCGCCCCCCGCCCGCTCCGGAGGCCCCGGCCCAGCCCGCCCCCCGCCCGCCCCGGAGGCCCCGGCCCGCTTCCTCAGGAAGAAGGCCGCCAGTGTTCGGGGCCGCGGGACGGGGCGGGGGGCTGTGCCGTGTTTCCTTTGGCTGCGCACGTCCGCGGGCAGCATGAATGGGACGTCTGTGCTTTGATTTCTCTGTTTTGATGTTTTTGGGCTCCTTTACTTTAAAGAAAAATTCAAATGGGGACAATAGAGAACGTTTTCCTCGTTTCGTCCGCGCTCAGATCGGCCCTCCGCCACCGTTCCCAGACCTGGACCACAGCGCCCTGGCAAGCACTCACTTCTACGCGTGAATATGTTTTTAAATGTATTTTTATTGATTTCAGGAGGAAAGGAGAGGGAGAGAGAGAAACATCCATGATGAGGGAGAATCACGGACCGGCGGCCTCCCGCACGCCCTCCACTGGGGATGAGCCCCCAACCCGGGCCTGTGCCCCGACCGGGAATCCAACACTGACCTCCTGGTTCCCGGGTGGACGGTCCACCACTGAGCCCCGCCGGCCGGGCCCATACTGTTATCTGTCTGTTGCTCTGGTGCCCGCGATGTGCGTTCTCAGGTTGCTGACGGGGTTGGGTAGTGACACGGAGCTTTGCAGCCCCTGCCAGCTTCCGAAGCCCAGGGCTGCTGACCCCGTGGGCCGTGTTCTGGGGGGGGGGGGGGGGCAGGGGGACCTTGGGTTCGTCACGTCACCTGTCAGTCGGGCCCATCTGGTTTGCCTGCTGGCGACACTGTGACTACAAAGGCGGCTGTGTGTGTCCGTGCATGTGTGCGTGTGCGTGTGTGCGTGTGTGAGTGAGTGTGTGTGCGTGCACGTGTGTGAGTGCGCGTGTGTGCGTGCGTCTGTGTGTGTGTGGCATGTGTGCGTTGTGCGTGTGTGCGTGTGTGAGTGAGTGTGTGTGCGTGCACGTGTGTGAGTGCGCGTGTGTGCGTGCGTGCGTGCATGTGAGTGTGTGAGTATGTGCGCATGTGTGTGTGTGCGTGCGTGTGCGCGCGTGTCTGTGTGTGCGTGTGAGTGAGTGTGTGTGTGTGCGTGCGTGTGTGCGCGTGTCTGTGTGTGCATGTGAGTGAGTGTGCGCGCGTGTCTGTGTGTGCATGTGAGTGAGTGTGTGTGTGCGCGTGTGTGGAAATGCCCGGGTGCACCTCGGTTCTCGTTGGAACCAGGCACAGCCTCTTGTGCAACAGGCGGAGGAGGCGGTGTGATCCCTCCCGCGGACGAGGAGACTGAGGCAGAGCGGAGGTCAGCGCGGGCGGGCGGGCAGGTGGGTGACACAGCTGTGGCCGTGGGGCAGCCTCGTCGCCACACCGGGGCCACAGGAGGTGCAGCGGGAGCTCTTGGCCGGTGGACTTCCCGGAGGCAGACGGGGCTGGAGAACGGGACGTGCCTTTCGGCGTCTGAGCGGGAGGGCCGCGCACGGTGACCGGGAAGAGCGCTGGTGCCATTCGCGCGTTTAGAACAGAACTCCTGC